AATGAGTATGACGCTCAATCAATTTGCTATAACTGCTAAAATCTCAATAAAGCGCAATTATTACAACAAACTAAAAAACAATTAAATATGTTTATCTAAGAATAAAATACACATTAAAAATTAATAAATGCCGTCTATGCATCAGAACAATCTCATAAAACTATTTCAATTAACAATTTCTTGGCAATTCGCTATACCGAGCAGCAATGAAGCGCCCAATAGCAGGCCACACGCCGCTCGCTGATTCACGCGAAGAGTCGGAACAGCCGCCCGAACACTCAACAAATGTCATAAATATTCAATAATGTATGTATGCATGTGTGTGTGTGAAGTGCAGTGTATGATACAATTCATAAAAATAAACTAATGAAATTTTGTCTTAAAAAGTCAGCCGCAAAATCTGCCTGTTTGTGTATTTTATTGTAGTTCAAGCGCAGCAACAGAAGCAAAAGCATAACAGAAAATTTGTCAAGCGCATTTTTCTTGCGCTGACGGGTCGTTCAAACAGACCACAAACGCACATAGTACATAGAAAGATGAGGAAATGTGTCACAGTGCACAAATGTGTTTAGCAGATGTCGAAAGCTTCGAGGCAATAAGCTAAATTTTATATAAACATTTGGGAGAAATTAATAATTTTATATGTTTTAGCATTTTGATTTTTATGTATTCACAAAAACAAAAATACATACATAGGAGTAGAATTTAGACGCAAGCTTTGCAGGCGGTCGAAATTTGACCGGTTTGTAGCGGTTGGTCAATGGCTCATATAAGTATATTATTCTTTTATATTTATGTATATATGAATATATGTATAGCTTAGCTAAGCTTATATTCTAGTGCAACAACTTATTGTGCACCCTTTGTTTAGAATATTTCGTATTCGAATAAATTTATAAATATTTTGATTAGCTCATGTTTCCGCAACTCAAGCTCAACACATTCTCAAAGATAGGCACAAATATCAAAATTCATGAGTAATATTTAATTTTTCAAGTGTTCGATCGGAGAAAATAATTTGTATGGAATTATTAAGAAAAAAAGACTTCAGTTAATTAAAAATCGTTCAGCAAGATAAGCAAAAATAACATAATTTACATGAGTTTAAAATTTTGAAGCTAATGGAGCTCATTTAAGCCTTTAGCAACTTGCTTTGTATCAGTAATAACAAAAGTAAAGTGAAAGCTTCGGAAATTTTTTTTTTTGTTGTTATTTTTATTTTTTTTTTTAATATTTGGAGTAAAAATATATAAGAAATTTTTTCATATTTATAGTAGTTTCTATATAAACAAAATGTTCTTTCATTAAAAAAAATAAACTTTTCATACATATATTGATATATAAGTAAGGAAGGGCTAAGTTTGGAAGTAACCGAACATTTTATACTCTCGCAAAGTCAAATGGTATACTCGTTTGAGATTTCTTTGTGGATTGGCTGATATTTTCGGTAGAAGGTCAACTATAGGCACTGGGGTCCACATATTTAGTACTTAGGGGCTTGAACAGTTTTGGTTCGATTTAGACAATTTTTGGTCACAAGGTGGTATACTTTAAACGTATTATTCACGCAAAGTTTTACCCCGATATAATCATTGTTGCTTGATATGCATAGTGGAAAGTGAAAGAATCAGATGGAATTTAAAATGGTGTTATATGGGAAGTAGGCGTGGTTGTAGTCCGATTTCGTCCATTTTCGCACTATCACATAGAAATATGGAAATAACGATATGCACCGAATTTGGTTGAAATCGGTTAAGCAGATCTCAAGATATGGGTTTTCACCTAAAAGTGGGCTGTGCCACGCCCACTGTCTAATTTTGAACGCGGTTCCCATAAAGTCATCTCATACCATCCCAGAGATAAAATTTAATGTCTCTGGCGTGTTTAGTGCTTGATTTATCGCGCTTTTAGTAGTTTTTAACAGTACCGTTATATGGGGAGTGGGCCACCCGATTTCAACTATTTTCACACTGTGGGTAGAGGTTTTAAAAAAATTTGCTTCCAGTGAATTTTGTTACTATAGCATTAGCGGTTTAGGAGATATGCACATTAAACCTTTTAGAGGCGGGACCACGCCCACTTTTTAAACAAAATTTTTAACTGCAGATGCCCCTTCTTAATGTGATCCTGTGTACGAAATAACAGTCTTACATCTTATTGCGTAGCTTAGTTATGGCAATTTATTTGTTTTTGATTAATGGCGTTTTGTGGACGTGGCAGTGGTCTGATTACGCCCATCTGCCGTCTCACGGTACCAAGAAACATATCTACCAAGTTTCATAAAGATATCTCAATTTTTACTCAAGTTACAGCTTGCACGGACGGACGGACGGACAGACAGTCACCCGGATTTCAACTTGTCTCTTCATCCTGATCATTTAAATATACATAACCCTATATCTAACTCGATTAGTTTTAGGTGATACAAACAACCGTTAGGTGAACAAAACTATTATACTCTGTAGCAACAGGTTTCGAGAGTATAAAAATAATAATGAACTATAAATTTATAAGCTTTCCATACTAAAGCTATGTGTTCATAAAAGGATCCGTAAGCTGTAGTTTACAAATTACATTGTTATCTACAATATTTTTAAAATAAGTTGTATGTCAACAAATATTAGAAATATAGTTTTGTTAGAGCTTTCACTAAGATTTTAAAATTAAATTTAAGTATGATAGTAATTTTAAAACACATTTTTAGGTAAAATTAGTTAGAGCTTTATGGTGGAATATTAACTTTAAATGTTGTATGTGTATTAAAAAGTATTCGCTCTTTCATTTTAACAAATAATTAATATGGCTGAATCAAATAATTCACAAAATTACTTTTTCTGATTAAAAGATATATTAAACTTTTTTATTTTGTATTAGATAGAGCTTTCACGAGCTTTCACACCCATTCTTATATATATATATATAACATTTTTTGAAAGGTTTATCGGATATCTTTTTCATTTAAACAACATACAAGTATAACTTGTGAAATATGAGCTTTCGTTTGAGCTTTCATCCTTTTATAAGCTTTCATGCTTTTAATGACTTTTTATTACCTTTCACGAGAGCTTTAAGGCTTTAATAAGGTTTAGATTTATTTAACAAATTTTACTAAAAATAGTTTTTAAATTGCGCCACTCTAAAACGTGCTCTACTATACTATACCTATCAATATGTCTATGTGAATTGTGAATTTGCAAAAACTATAAGAGTTCAACGCCATCACAAATACAAATTATTTTATATTGAAACTCAGCAGTACTCATAATTCTAGTATTCGGTAATAAAATATGCGCACGCTCATTATATATTTTATCAGTTTAAAAAGCAGCACTTCATCGGTTAAATACCTCGCCGTTTTTTGATCATATCAACAGCCATTCGAAAACGCATAAAAATACCTCTGCTTGTACATAGTTGCCACTTATGATATCGAGAATTATAGCCATGTAGTGTTTTTCGTTACAACAACAAAAAACACACAGGTAAGCGCTACAACATAACTCGTCCCGCTGTCTGACTGTCGACGCAATAAATTTTTCGTTTATGTTGACGCACACCTTTAAGCCGCTTAAGTGGTTATGACTCTTCTTTATGCTTTTTGTTGTGTTTACAGCTCTTTTATTGCTGTTGTACCCCTCTCGTTGCGTATGTTAAGTAAGAAATCAGAAGGTAAGCATTGAAGTATCTTTTCAATAATTCTTGATTATAGATTTTTGTATTATTATTTTATTAATTTGCCACTTTATGTGAGTAGCATGAAAAATTATCAATAAGAAAAGTCTAAATTTACCTCGAACATTTGCGGGTACCATGGAACTGTGTACTCATATGTGCACATGTATGTCTCTAAAATACTTGTCAATCATTGGCAACAGTTGACCGGCTAATTGCTGGGTGCTTGCTGCAATATTCTCGGTGCCTAAGTGAATTATCGAATGACTGAGTGATTGTATGATCGCTTGACTGACGCTATGACGGATTGAAACAACAACTGATTGACAATGAACCGGCTGCGCGCTGCATAAAAATTGTCTATGCGCGTCCATGTTTTTATGTAGAAAAGCACTAAATGTTTATTCTCCTCTCTTCTTTTTGGCGTCGGTTCGCCTGATTGTCAACATATCACATTACAATGAAGTGGCCAGCCAGGTGTGAGGCTATGCGAGCCTCTAGAGATACATTCAGACACAGATATGTATATACATGTATATGTATATATATATATAAATATGTTTGTATGTGGTTTTGTAGAAACCCCCAGTACTTGAGCGCTCATAGTTTATGACTCAATAAAAATTTTCTAGGCAAAAGTGCGTGTAAAAGGTTTGCATCGTAAAATGTTTGTGGTTAAAATAATAATAAATATACAATTTTATTCGCACAATTTTTATGCATTTAAATAGTTAGCCGCTTCGAAGTTTCCCACATTTTCCATAAATCTGTTTTTTGTTGTAAAGTAAAAATTACTTGTAAATAAAAAGTAAAAATCTGAAATAATAACTCGTATGCTAAAATCAAGTTGGTAGCAAATATTGTCTCCGCATTTGGAGGCGATATTTTTATGAATTTAAACATTTCTGTAATAAAAGCCATTTCAATTCAATTCAACAATTCGCCATTTTTCTGCTCACTGCATTTAGCGGACGCTCTCTTGCCATAAGATTTACACAGATATAAAACAGCTACAGTAAGTATTCTAGAGCACATAGGATGAAAAATTTCAACATTAGGTGACTTTGGAAAAACTATCACCCTACATAAATTAAATAGAATTATATTATATACCCGATATCGTATATTTATGTATTTTAATAGTCTATACAATGGTCTACCCCGTTATTATATAAACGTACTCGGTACTATACTTATTGTTCCTATATTCTCTTAAAAATTTCTTCATTTATGCTGAATTTATTTACTCTGAATTCTACACTCTTTTTGTATAATTTTTTTTGTTTTATTTCGAAAGAAAATATTAAACTTTATTTGTTTAAACTTACATGATTGAGGCGCGCTGCAATCTTGGCATGCTCCTCTTGATAAGCTTTGCGTGCTTTACGTTTATCTTGTGATAAATGTGTCAGCTTTTCGCAGACAACTTCAAGTAGTTCTGCATTGCTTTTGAATTGTTTAGCTTGATGATCCAATTCATCCATATAGGAGCGCCAGGCTTTCGTTATGAGGCTGCCTAAAAAAAAGAAAATACAATTTATTTTCAAATGATACTAATATTAATAATATTTTTAAAAACACTTTGACCAAAATGAATAAAACTGAGAAACGTAAAGAACTATTTCACACGAGATAGTAGCCAAACTAATAAATTCTACAGAAAATTTCAACTAATCATCTAAGGCTTCGTTTACGGTGTAGCAAAGATTACAGCAACATATTCTAATCTGATAAATGCAGCTAATATTAATCAAAGTACGAAATTTGTTAGTTTCTATAGAAACTAAAGTCAGTAAATAAAGAACTGGTAAATGGTTTTATAACATGTCAGTTCTCTTGGTTTTTAAAACCGCAAACCGTATCTGTTTCTTTACGACGCGAACAGTTTGTCTGACTAACTTTACTCTTATACTAACTTATTAATTCATAGCCTGTCAGTACTTCAATGGTTCGAATGTCCGAATTTTTACCATCTCGAACTTAGCTTATATTTAGAGATTAAAGGAATTTATGAAAATTCTTATCATATACCGTGAATATCGCTTAAGTATATTAGCGTTTTCAGAATGCAATAAACACGACTTTTGAAAGATAGACTCTGCTACAAAGTTGACTCTCTTGAACTCTCTTAACTTATGTTATTTCATAAAGAGCAGGACTAATTAAATATTGTACGCATAAGATTACAAGATTTATTTGTTATTCTGTTTTAATTTTCAATCTTAAAAGCACCGTTTTAATAACGAAATGCGGAATACAAAATAAAATAGTCTACAAATCTTCGACAAACCGTTACATATGTAAGTTTATGCAAAGAATAAACGAAATGACTGCAATAAACAGGTTAATAGTCAAAACATTGGTTATTTGTTGTTATTTTTGTGATATTACGGCGATAAAATGTTTCCTTAAAATTATTTGATGTGGGAAAATTTTATAGTTGCATTAGTAGAGCAATTAAAAACACTCATGTGTATATGTCTGTGTGTAAAATCGTTTATGCATTTTTTTGCAAATAAATTTCCTTACCAAGACTAACTTATTGCTGATTTTTATTATTTTGCAAGTATGTAAACATATGAACATATACATATGTGTATGTACGATTGTATGTGTGCCAACACAGTTATCTTAATTTTAAAATTTTTTATATTAATTATTTTCGTTCTATTACTGATTTATTAATATAATATATATCTTTTGTGGTTAGCGTTTAGCGCACATAGTCACGCTCACTGAGCGCAATGCCACAACATAAGGAAGCAGAAAATTTGTAATAAATCGCTCGTTGCCTGAGAGTTGTGAATGGAAACTGTAATTAATTGCAGTTGCAATTTGGTTTAATTGCTAGCAACAACTGTGCAAATTATGAATGCAGAAAAGTTCATAAAATACAAAAGCACAATAGCACATACATATATACACATATGTAGCGAGCGAAGGCGTTGAGGCTGCCAATGAGAAACCTAACCTAAAAACTCAATAATAAACAGCAACCAAAGGAAATGTGCGATTGATCGAGCGAAATTAGTGCAAAGCAGCTGTTTGAATGCCTCAACTAATGCAAATAATTATATAAATATTCAGTTTAACACACATACATATAAATTAAAATCAAATTTACATATTTCCCAAGCCCAGTGGCAACAACACATACACACAAGCACACACTTTATTTACTGTTTACTTTATTTTACTACGCGTTTTTATTTTTGCAGCCAAGTTCGTGGCCAAGGTTATCATATTTTCAAGCAACTCAAAAAAGTAATACAAGAAATGGGTGGAAAAATAGTAACAATTGAAAAAACGAAGAAAAAGATATTTAAGTAAATGATCACAATTATATCAAAATGTGCCTACACTTTTTGCATAAGTAAATATCTAATGTAGATATATTTGAGAATATACTCCCCGAAAATTTGAAATTGTTCCGACAAATAGTTTCAGATATCGTATTTGTAAGAATTTTTTAACTTAGTGTAATCGGTTGGTGAAAAAATTTTGTCCGTAAAAGCTGAACCGATCGACTTTACACGATCTTGTTGGATACATCTTTCAGGATAATCCAATGAATAGTATTTTTCATATTAATATTTCAAATAAGTATAAAAACGACTGGGGGAAGCCGCCATTTTGTCAAAAATCATAATTTTGACTAGTCCTTTGATCATTACCTGTATTCATATATGGTAATAATTTTTTTTTTTTTGTTTTCGGATTTGAGATACTTTTAAGCAGAACAATCTTTCTCACCGAAAGACATCTTTTGCGGAGATCCTCCTGGAGATCAGCGACGGGATCAAGGGAATCCAAATTTTTTTGAATTACCAATTATTAAAATACATTAAATGCTGTAAATGTACATTTTTATTTTATTTTTTGCAAACCATAACAATTACCAAGTTGCACACATTTATATGCCTCAAAAAATTATACTGTACCAAAATGAAAATCACAAACATATTTGCAATTTTTTTGGCAACAAAGCACTTAAACCCTTGAGCTTGGACAGCCAACTCTAGCTGCTTGTAAATTACATAAGTAAAAAGGGCAAAAAATGTCAATTATCCATTATTTATATCTGAATTTCATCAATAAATCGCTAGCAACTAGACTCTTTGTCTAAAAGTAACTTCAGTCTCCTTGTTTCTTTAACCTCGTCGCGTGACTTTATTGAATTTATCGCGGTAATTGCAAGTGATTAACAGTAATTTTACTGCACCTCAGAAATGTGTAGATATGTGCATAAGCATTTTATATACTTACATAAATAACTGCATATTTATTAACTAAGTTATATGCACATATATATGTATGTGGTCGTGGCGGTTGCGCTTGCGCCGTTTACAATTAAGATAGAGCGATCTGTCGCCGCTCTACAGCATTCCAAATCATATGCAGGCACTGGCTGCCTTAGAAACGACATTACTACCAGTACTAAATATTTTAAAAATAATTCGAAAATATCCGCCATTAATTTCTATGGTATAATGCTCGCCAGCAGCGGTATCCAGTACAACTATCGATTTGCTGGCGTGTGATTTGTTGTACCCGTAAGAGTGTGTTATGTGCACTTATAATTTAAACTGCTGGATATTTATTCAAGCTATTAGTTAATTATACGAGAAATTCAAAAAAAAATCAATTTGTAGTATAATAAAAAAACTGTGCTTTCAAGTGGACTAAAACTTAACAGAAGCAAAATATGCATTACTACTATTGCGAATTATATTACATAGAAATGTCAAGCAATCCGATGAAAATATAGATTTTTACCTTTATGGGGAATTATATTTTTTTCAAAAGATAAGAATTTGTTTTTTTGAAGAAATCACTGATTTGATTGAAACAAAAAGTTTATTAAACAATATAGTTTCAGAAAATATGAATTACTTTTTGGGCGAGTCATTTATAATATTTATCATATACGAGTACATCCTGATAGTATAGCTTGTGTAACAGTAAAATTCTGACTGTAACCACTATGAGATCATCGAGTTTTTAAACTCTTTATAAAGTTTCCGGTTCCTGCTAATTAATTCTGGGTTTTTTAAGTATAGAAAGTATTTCACAAATAGATTTCCAAAGGAACGCCATTTTGCTTTACACCCTGATTAGGTAATATTAAGTTTATCTTGAAGTTTGTAACACCCAAAAGGAAAGGTAAAAGTCCCTATAAATTACATATCGTATATGAATGATCCTTATATCCGTCTGTCTGTATATACGCGAACTAGTTACTCAGTTGTTGAGATATCGATCTGAAGTTGCACACGTTCTTTTCTCTTCAAGAAGCTACTCATTTGTCAGAATCGCCGATATTGGAGCACTGTAGCATAAAACTGCCGTACAAACGATTCGATCAATTTCAAGTACTTGCATTGAAAACTTTATTATTTGTAAAGGACATTGTAGCCTCGGTGTAGCCGAAGTTAATGTATATTCTTTCTTTTAGTTAAATAGACAGACATACGAATTTTTTTTAGTATTTGAAAAACTCTCCACACAAAAAACTTTTAATGTTTCTAAAAAAACAAACTATTTTCGAAATTATTCTAGTTTTAAAAATTATTATTTATTTAAATATGTTAGTATTCATGTTACTTTAATTATTTAAAGAAAAGAAAGAAAGATCTACCATACCCTTAAGTTGCTACATATAAGAAGTCTTGGATCACCAATAAATACTTCGATAATCATGACTCTTAAATTTTCAAAATAGTGAAAGTGCATTGGACGTAAATGGCACAAATCACCGTTATTGGCTAATGATTAAAGTCGTAAAAAAACCGAAAATGCAACAATATCGATAAACTAACAACAACGATAAATAAATATCGAAGTACATGCATAAATTTGTAGGCACTTAATACGTATATATTTATGTATACATTTATAAGTATATACGAGAATATATATGTAGCAAGTAAGTAACGATGTAGTGCATACATAAATCCATGTCACACCGATGGAAAAGGCACACAACGGGCCGGTCGCGCAATAACTCTGGCGATTACAGCGGTGCTTTGGCTTGCAATTGCATGTGAGTGTGTGTTTGCATTGGCAGCATGACATGTTGCCACATTTTACGCTCGTGTGAGAAATTAAAACGTTTGGCAAACCATAAACTGCACTGTACCCCACCGCATCGGCCGCGACCCCATTTGGACGGACTGCATGCAAATGTTACATCACGCAGCAAAGAATGTGTGTGCGTATGTGAATTTGCGTGAGTGCGTATGTGTGCGTAGATTGTAATATAAATGAGCGTGTAGATAATAATCGGCGACATGGTGCGATATTGGTAATATTTCACAAAAAAGACAGTTATGTATGCTAATATTTATCGCTGCAGAAATTTATTATTATTTTTGTTTTTCCTTCTGATTTTTTCATTGCTGGTGTATTCAATTAAGGAAATTTTATTAATTTTGGTGGTTCCGACATTTTCATTTCAACTAGTAGATATTTGTGCTTTTGGATTTCTCTACTATATTTTTAAAGAATTTATTAAAATTGTTTTAGACTACTTTTCAAAGTAATATCTTTTCATTAGTTAGTTACTAATATACAACGTTATCACAATAATATTTTGTATTTGAGTTAAATTTAATTTTAATTTGAGAACTCTTCAAATTTCTTACTTTATTTCTCAACATAACCTCAAATGGAGATTCGTAGAGTTCTCCAAAAAAAATAATTCGCAAATACTCGTTGTTAAAGTTTCGACTTCATTACTTCGGGACTTCGAAACACAACTTTTAAAAGACCATCAACGTTTTATTGTAGATAATCTATTGATCTTTTGGTCAAAATAAGCATAGTTGTATTCAAAAAAAATGGAAATGTTTAAAAACATAAAGGGAGTCAGACTTGGTAAATGATTATTTATACCGGATTTGTTTCTTCAAAATTTTACTTTATCATATCCACTGATAAAGCTGAAAATTAAAAATTCCTAAGGAATTAAGTCAATCTATTGTAGAACCCTCAAAGAAGGCTTAACTTTGCCAATTTATTCTGTGAGTATGGAAAAGAAATCGAATTGTTCTCTTTTAGGCTTTATTAAACATGTATGTGTCTTATATTGTAATTTTTGTAAGAAATTTTCGCAATCACATTTTTTTATAAGAAAATTGCATATTTTTTCAGAAAACATTTGGATTCTTAGGCTAGGCCTATAGCGTTAATTAGTTTCTGCTCATGTTTTACTTTCACAGAATTTTCTTGTCGTTCTAATTTTTGCTTTTCAAAATTTCTAATTGAGTTTCGTAAATTGATCACAGTTTGTACTTTAAATTAATCGTGAAACCACATTGTATTATAAATAATATAGAAATACCAACTTTTATTGTTTTGTTTTTGGAATTTCAAAATGAGTTTGCGATTAAAAAATATTCTGACGCACATTGACGTCTTTATTCACGCTTCTCCTACGCAAGTGACTTCATTTTAGCTTTGTTTTCATTATTTGTTCGTTTTTGCTTGGCAAAGTAGCTGATTTTATGCAAATCCCGTATTAAATATGTTTTCGAGGTATCGGCTGTTTTTTAGCAGAAATTAAATTGCAGTATGTCTCACAAAGTTAGTATGCAAATTCGAACAAAAGCTAACAGATCTACATACAGACATGCATATTTATGTATACTAAAGTGGTCATATGTGCAATATAAAACTCATTCCAGTTAAAAAAAAAAACAAAAAAAAAAACAATTCAATGTAGTTCCCCTTGCTCGGAGAACTTGCAGTAAGCTGAGTGACACTTTTATCTGACTTTGTTGTTTCTTTTACAATTCAAGAGCATAACAAAGAGTTTGAATGATTAGGTTGAAACTTTTTGTGTGACGCAAATGTAAAGTTTCGCTGATAAACGCTTAGAATGGAAACTAGTAGAGCGGTTATACTGTTTTCATCGTGATTTTATTTATTTATTTTGTGTTTTGCTGGTATTTTCTGTTTATCTAAGTTTTTTTTACTTATAATGTACATATTAAGTAATATGTAAGCTGTCTGCATTTCAATACAATTCACTGTTTTATCAATGAGCTTCTGAGGTTATTTGTATTATAACAAGGTTCAATTATATCACTTGGATGTACATACTATGTTCTCTTTAAGAATTTCTCGAGGTGCATTTAAGTCATTCAAAAGATTTTTCTCAAATCGCATATTTTCGATGCGCTGGTGTTAAACTTTATTGCTATTTTTATGGCTCCAATAAATGAGTCTTATTAATCTTAAATGCACTAAAAGTATATTAAATTTATTAGCAAGTGAAAAATTAATATCATAATCACATAATCAGCAGTTCACTAAAAGTATTACAGGAAAATGTATAAAATTCTATAAATATCTTATGCATTGAAATCGTAGTAAACAAAAAATAAATTACATGCAAATTTCCAAGTTTGAAATTCCGAAAAATAAATTTTATCCATTAAAACCGTAGTTATTAAAAATAAATCACCAGCAAAACTTCAAGTTTCGGGATCCCTTTGGAATCGTAGCACAATAAAATATATGATATCACTTAAAAATGTTCACGTTTCAGGATCCTGAAAATATAAATTGGGTTTTCGAAGAATATTATTTGCATATTGTATATATATGAACACACCGATCAAATTTTAAGGTCCCGAAAACATAATTTCGGATTGTCGCCAAAAATATTTGCATATTGTGGGAATATACATATGTATATATATATATTTAATGAATATTTATATATTTAATGAAGAGAGACCCTAATGCACAAAAATCAAACATCATAGTTTCGGGATCCCGAAAAGATAATTTCTGATTTTCGAGACATATTGAAAGAGCAACACTTTGAGATTGCATTTAAGTATGTGATATTATGATAGCTTAAAATATAAGCAACCTGTACATAGATTTTTAGAACTTAAAAACATTTCGAAACGTTTAAGAATATAAAAATACGTTACTAATTTTTTTCCTATGTATATGGCCGAGTTACCTGCCCAACGACTGGATTGTTCAAAATGAATGAAATAAAAAGTTTTGAATTTTGTAAGTGGTTTATTTAGCCAAAAAATGGAAATATAAAACAAAATAACGAATAAAAAATTTTAACAAATAACAGTTCTACCAGTAGCTCTACTTGATCCTCAACTTAAAATGTACAAAATATTTATATTAAATCTTCCTTTATCAGCGATTCACACCTTTTCTGCACTCTATGGTAGAAAAATGTTTTCTTAACAAAAAATGTGTTTATGACAAAGTTATACATTCAAGAGAGTTTTTAAACAATCTCATTAAAGTGAGGTTATATTGCTATTCTTAATGCTTTTGATTATGCCAGTATCTTATATTTTTACCGGTTGTTTGTTCGATTCGCCCCTCTAATAGATTTTGTGAATCGAAGAGAGCTAATACATTTGTCCCAAAGATAATCGAGGTTTACGTCATACGAACGTTGACAAAAGAATTAAAAAAGTAAATCTACTCAAACAGAATTTCGCTGGCTTACTTATATTCATATGTTATATACACATACAAACGTATACCTGATATACCTGCCTATATATATGTACTCCTTCTAGATATAATGGACTTATTTTTAAATAGCTTTCGCATTGCAGCATAGGAAAAGTCTTTATTGAAAACCACAACAAAGTGAACTTGCGTATTGATTATCAGAGGCAATACTTACATACGTTACTATATTTATTATTTTTCTTTTATATTTTTTGTTACTACTGCACCCCTTTTGCACTCACCTTGCATTTCATCGGCGCGATCAGTTTTCATACCCTGTTGTGCAACCGCAGCCAAACCGATCGCATATTCCCGATCGCATTTGGCTTTCAATTGTATGGATCGTTTCATGGTCTCCATAAGTCGTAGTTCGGCATCTTGGCGCACGATTAATGCCTCGTGCGCGGCACGGCCCTGCAGGGCCGATGAGAAACCCATTGCTGTAGGCTTGTATTGATAACTGTTTAAGTTGTTTTTACTTTTTCACAAATTTTAAAATATTAAAAAAAAATCGTTATTTTTTTTTTTTGTTTTGTGGTCTTGTAATGCGGTTGGTATTATGTGGTTAGGTAGCACCGGTTTTTTTTTCAATAAAAACACATTTATTTCAAGAATTTTTGTATTTGCTTTTCACATGGTTTTTTAATTAATTATTCACAAGTATGTAAAGGTGATGATAGTTATGTGTGTAAACTTTTGTTCTTCTACAAGTAGATATAAGGAGATATTTATTTCATACATATTTTTTAACGATTTTTTATAAAAAAGAGTTTCCTACAAGCAAACATCAACATACAATCTAACATCAATCACAAATTAATTGGTTAGATTTCTGATTTATCCAACTAGTGCTAATGGAATGTCTACAGTAGCACAAGAGCATTAAATACTCAAAAAAATCATACAAATATTTATTCATGTGGCGCTCAATATAAACATCAAAGCACAATATTTCAAAAACATTAAATCATTTCAGAAAACACTGACTACAATATTCGTTGAAACAAAATTATCGTAAGAAAAATAAAAAATTTAAAAAAAAATATAGAAACTGTGTAAAAGAAATAGCTTTATGAAAAAAACAAAAATAAATGATGCCAATTTTTTTTATGTGATTATACAAACAAGATTATAGTGCATACACGAGTATACATAAACATGTATGTTTGTTTATGTATATTTTGCGACTTTCACATTTTTTTTTTTTACTTTTGCTTATTTGCATTATTTTCAACTTGCGCAGAATATTTCGACACTTCATTTCATTTCGTTCAATTCCATTTCATTCAATTCGCTTTACACTCAACTTTCTTGCGAATGTTTTGCTGGCATGCCAGTTATATGAACTCTGTGCATGTTGTTGTGATTTTCGAAATTTTATGGCACATTTATTGGCCAAGTCAGCGGCTGGAGCTTCATAATGTTCGAGCATATGCCAATTTGCAAATTTTGCGAAACATTTTGCATCACAACACATTGCAGAGAGATGTACAGGCCAGCATTTACTTAGGCATACATAAGTACGTAGTAAGTACGTATGTGCTCATTTCGGAATGTGAAAAATAACAATAACAATAATTGGCTTTGGTAAAAAATGTAGTGATGCAAAATATTTTTTGCTAATTTTAAATAAATATAATAAATATATGTTTTTATGAACAACTTAATTATATAATCAAGGCAATATCTTCTTAAGTATGTAAATATGTTTGCTTTTTTTTAATTATATTATATAATCGTTTAGTATTTCTTTAATATTTTTATTTACATTCCAAGCGATTGATCAGTATTATGATAAATCATACTTCCAAATCAGCTTAAATAAAAAATAAAAAACAGATTTAGGTAACGTTCAGTGAAAGCCACCCCATGTATCTATAGTATTTAAAAGTCAATAATCGACCCTAGATACCGATTTGAGTGAAAACTCGCCTGCAGAAAAAGCCTGTCTCGACACGAAGACGTGGAGCGTGTGAGCTCGTCGTAACCATTCAGAATCTAATGGATTGTATTATTTTATTCAACAGCAAGACCCTGTCACCTAACGAAAGAGAGTACCGGTACAAATATCAATATAATGAATTAAAAATTTATATTTTATTTTCTCCAACATAATACAATATGTAACCAATCTATATGTCTACATTTTATATATTTTATAGTGCATAACACAAGTTAGTGTAGAAAGGCTCTAAGTTAAATATCTTCTTTATTTCACATATTTTGGATGTACTCAAAAAGCGTCGATATAAAGTTTCGTAGTTCCCTACAGAACCTACTGATAACAAAAAAAAAAATGAATGACGCCGTTAAAGCAAGAAGCCCCATTAAAGATCAGCAGTTACTATCCTAACCTAACAATTGTTAAATTATCTATATGACCACTGCTTCTAGAAATATCATTGCAGATATCTAATATGAAAAGATAATTTGCTCCAAACATATATACTTATTTTCACTTTAGATAAATAGAAACTATGCACTGGAAACACTTGAATTCACCCATATATAAGTCAAAACGAAAGAGGGAGTTCTTTTGGAAGCCTATCTTTGGAACGTTCTTATACATGGAAAAAACCAGAATTAATTAACAGAAACAGGATCTTTTATAAGAGCTTAAAACTAACATGATCTGGTGTTGTTATGGAAATAGCATTCGAGCAATATTTTTGTCATTACAACAACAATACATTACCTAGATTTATAAATAACCAAACACTCTAAAGTTTCTGAAATACTTTCGCTGTTGCATAAATTAATTTGTGAGAAATTTTAATCCAAATTTTCAATTTTATATACCCTGAAGGCTCAGAAGGAAACGTCACAAACCCTATAAAGTATGTATATATAAAAAGTATATATCATATATATGTATATATAACAAGTAAGGAAGGGCTAAGTTCGGATGTAACCGAACATTTTATACTCTCGCAAAGTCAAATGGTATACTCGTTTGAGATTTCTTTGTGGATTGACTGATATTTTCGGTAGAAGATCAACTATAGGCACTGGGGTCCACATATTTAGTAGTTAGGGGTTTGAACAGTTTTGGTTCGATTTAGACAATTTTTGGCCGCAAGGTGGCATACTTTAATTGCATTATTCACGCGAAATTTTACCCCGATATAATCATTGTTACCTGATTTGCATAGTGGAAAGTGAAAGAATCAGATGGAATTGAAAATGGGAAGTAAGCGTGGTTGTAGTCCGAGTTCGCCCATTTTCGCACTATGACATAAAAACATGAAAAGAACGTTATGCACCGCATTTGGTTGAAATCGGTTGAGCAGATCTCAAGAATTGGGTTTTCACCTAAAAGTGGGCTGTGCCACGCCCACTGACTAATTTTGAACGCGGTTCCTATAAAGCCAATTTATACCATCTCAGAGATAAAATTTAATGTCTCTGGCGTGTTTAGTGCTTGATTTATCGCGCTTTTAGTAGTTTTTAACAGTACCGTTATATGGGGAGTGGGCGGAGTTGCCACCCGATTTCAACTATTTTCACACCGTCAATAGAAGTGCTAAAACCATTTGCTTCTAGTGAATTTTGTTATTATAGCATTAGCGGTTTAGGAGATATGCACATTAAACCTATTAGAGGCGGGACCATGCCCACTTTTTAAAAAAAAGTTCTAACTGCAGATGCCCCTCCCTAATGTGATCCTGTGTACCAAATAACAGTCTTGTATCTTATTGCGGAGCTTAGTTATGGCAAGTTATTTGTTTTTGATTAATGTCGTTTTCTGGGCGTGGCAGTGGTCCGATTACGCCCATCTGCAATACCAACCGTATCACGGTACCAAGAAACATGTCTACCAAGTTTCATAAAGATATCTCAATTTTTACTCAAGTTAGAGCTTTCACGGACGGACAGACGGACGGACGGACGGACAGACAGTCACCCGGATTTCAACTCGTCTCTTCATCCTGATCATTTATATATATATAACCCTATATCTAACTCGATTAGTTTTAGGTGATACAAACAACCGTTAGGTGAACAAAACTATTATACTCTATACAGGTTGCGAGAGTATAAAAAGTATATATCATATATATGTATATATAAAAAGTATATATCATATATATGTATATACGTGACAAGATAAGCGATAAACAATCCCTCTAGCCAATTATTGTCCAATTCATCGGTACAATCTTTAAACAAACTGTTCAGATCGCACCACTATAGCATATAGTTGCGATGCAAACTGAACGATCAAAATCAATTTTTATATTCTTTTATGCTATAAGAAATTCAAATGTGAAGGGTATTATAGCTTTGGTGCAGCCAAAGTTAGCGATTTTTCTTGTTTTCTTGAGTGTTTTCGACTACCAGAAACAGTAATTAAGAAAACATTGCACAACATCCACAAAGAGAGCTGACTTGCCAATATTTTTTTAACATTCACTTACTTTTTATACGATTTTGTCATAAATAAATAAAAATTTAAGTACAAACACCTTCACGGATTATTTGTATTCCTCCAATTATTTAGACTATTTTACTATATTCATGTTTTCACAACCTAAATAAGCCACAATGGCACTTGAACTTTAAGCCTTTTTCGAATATAATGTTGTTTGTTGCTATTGTTTTGCTTTTGCTAAGCCATGTTTAGCTGCAATATTGTTCTTAACACCGATATAGTTGGCGTCACTGTTGCTGTTGTTGTTGTTATTATTATTGACGTGTTGCTATCTTTGTTGAGCGTGTTGCCGATGTTTACGTAAAACTAGTTTTTCCAGCATAAAAACAACTACAATAATAACAACAACAGCAAATAAAGAAACAATGCCGAGCGTTGAGCTGGTGCAAGTAAGGTAAGCTAAGGTAGTTGCCTGGATAGCTATGCAGCTATGTACGTGTGTGTGTAGATAAATAAGCAAACAAAAATAAATACAGACGACACACACACACACATACACATACTGTCGCGCTTGAGAGTGAAGTGGCAGGAGCACAGCTCCAGCATTGCTTGACTACTGACTTTTCTCCGGCACTTTGACTGTTTGCTTGCGGGAGCTACACAGCGCTGGATTTGAGCAACGCTTTGTCGCCACAGATCGCTTGTGCCTGTATGTATTTGTGTTTGTGTGTGTCTGTGAAAACGGGTTAGCTTAATAACAAGGCGACTCGTTGCAGGCAACTACAACCAGACCAACAGCGCGGCAATAAATACACAAAGCACCGTAGTCAATAAAAGACAGCTACAGCAACAACAACAACAATAGTATCACCAATAAGAAGAATAAAGTGCGACGATGCAAAGGCTGTAAGTTGGCGACGCATCAGGCACACACACATACACGTATATATACTTGTGTGGTAGTGAAGGAGCGGACGGACGCCGCCAGAAACCGAAAAATATCAAGCAGCAAATAAATCTTGTGTTCAATCAGCGATAAAACAAACTTGAACACTAAAATACCGCAAAACATCAAAAACAAAGCATAAAATCGGTATCACGTCGTGAGATAAAAAATTTGAAGAAAATATAAATAAGCCAAAAAGCAAACAAAACAATGAAAAAAAAACGATTTCACTCTCAAAAAAATTTTGTTTATTTATTTATTTTTTTTTTTGTTAGTTAAAATTTCTTTTTGGATAAAAAATATTTCTACGATTTCAGCTGCTTTCAATCAACTTCGTATTTACAGATTATATGTATGTATAAATTTCTGCATGTTCCTGTGTAGCCAATATTTTGTTAGCGCTTACGGGAATGCGCTAAAACGAAAGTGTTTCACAAATGAACTACTACAAGAACAAGTTCACAAAATTTCAATTGCCACTGGTCTGCTGCTATCTAGCTTATAAACAAACAATAATATATATTCGCAAAACCGCAATCGCGTATCTAGACGACGCACAGAAAGATCTTGTATTCTTTCGCTTCCTTGGTTACAATGCGCACTAAACTACTTTTTCACAATTTTTTCAACATTAAATTATTTAATTTGGGCACAATTTTTTTATAGTTCAGTAGCTACTCCGTAACAGTAACGTTTTCGGTCGCCAAAATGTCACATTCGATTTGCTTATTCACGCGTAGAAAGTACTGACAGGCACAGGGAGGCAAAGATGGACGGAGGCGGGTGCGTAAGATATTAGCGCGCACGGGGCAACTCACATTCTTTGTTGGCGCTAACAACTCACTTTGCTTAGCACTTGATTTTATCAGCTTTCAATTTGTTTTACACTTCAATAAACTTTCGCATTGGCATTTTTTGCATGCAATTTCTTTGCACTTGACATTTCGCTATTTCTTTGTAAATTGATATTTTATTGCAGCAAATTTATTACCAAATTTTTATTTTCATACAATTTTTTTTTTTTTTTTGCTTTGTTTTTACTCACAACTTGTTTTCGAAAACTCTTTCGATTTCACACACAATTCGACTGAGTGGCTAAAATATTAACAAATAAATAAATCCAAGAATTGACCGACCGGCCGCACTTTCAGACTGCACACGTACACGCTTCGAACAAGACTCGCCGCAACTGTTGGAGACCCAAATGAAAATAGCAACCGCACACAACGCACTGGCAAAGCTCCCCAACTCAACAACAACCTAAAACACCAAAAGCAAAATCACTCAAACATGTTCGAGCGTGACCCCCTGCTGCAAGCACTCAAACGATGAGTGGAGTGTTTCTTGGGGATTTCTCTACTTTATTTCGTTATTTCGTATTTTTATCTAGTCAACCTATTAAGACGCCTCTGACATGCCGCTCTTTGGCTGCTTGCGTGCCAGTATTTTGTATATGGTGTTGTTGTATTTTTTTTTCCACCACATAATGGCAGTGTCTGAATCAATTGCGTCGATTGTCAACGCTGGAAAAGTGTAGGTATTGAAATGAGGTCAACCACCTATGAAATTTTTTGGAGCCTTCAATTTGAGTGTTAATTAATTTTTGGCATTGTTTAATCAACCCGGGGATTTTATTGTGTCATAGTTTGAGATTGTGAAGTAACAGTTTGAATAAAATAGATTTTATTGTCTGGATTATTCTAAATGATAGACCAGCAAACAAAATTTCTACCCACACTGGGGCACTTAAATGAAGCTTGTGATAGGTATTGATGTCTTAAAATATTTGGAAAAAACTTGTTCTTAGAAATTTTGAGTATCCCAAGGAATTACTGCATTAAATATGCTTTAGATATGTTGTCGAAACTCTATAATATCGACAATGCATTAAATATTTGGCAAAAAACTCCCAAAATTGGCTAACTTAGTAATAATATATACATATGTATTATATATAAAACATATCCGATCGGCGAAATATACGGTCATTTGAGGTATGGAAAATTGGTTTAGACAGGTCTCTATTTTGAGGATTACAGCGGAAATTGGGTCTCTTAAGGTGTATGAAAATATTAAGAAGGAATACTTAGAAATTGGTTATTATATACTCACAATATTTTTTTATATATAAATGAATGCTAAACAGATCCCAATATATAAAAATTACGTGTGATGTTTTCTCCGTGGTTAATTCCTTAACTACTGAACCGATTTTGGTAAAATTTAGCACATTGTGTCCAGTTTAATTCAACTGTTACCGACGTTAACGTTCTCACCTTTATTCGTAAACAATATTTTAAATGTATTGAATAGTTTATTTAAATACTTGTAGTATATAATGTAACACACAGCATCACGTGATCGGTTCTTAATAGTATATTTATATATATATATTGCAATATATTAGATATTAGAATTTCAAGCTCTTCTTATAAGATGTGTATGAAGAAGACTACAAAAGATACCACTACAATAAACACAATACAATAATAATGGTCTTAGCTTTTACACGTCCGAATCAAACTCATTCGAACTCATTTAAAGATTATGTCAGCCAGAGAACTAGCCTTTCATTCCGCCGTGCTGTATTATCAATAGAGACTTAAAGCTGAAATAAGAAGAATACCTCTATAAATGTTTATTTTTGTATTATCCTATGAGGTTAGAGCAGTTGCATAACTAACTTTCTCACCATTGAGCTTAAGAATATAAAATCAAAATCAGAAAATTATCATTCTTAAAAGCCTTTTGTGCACCTTTTTTATGAAAGTCTGAACCCTCCCTTTTATATAAATAGTGGCAATAGACTCTGGTCGTTTGTAGAATCGAAAACATTTTCTTGACCAAACTCAGGTATATTGTAGTTGAATGTATGCTTCTTAAACGTTTCTTCCGTTGAAAAAGTCTCTATGAAAATTGGAAAATTTAATTATTTTATGATATTGTGTGTCTCAATCTTGTTTCAATCTTTTTTCTTATGGAAAAATTTATAATACTCGGTACTATAGCACTAGAAAATTGTATACATAGAACATAGAGAATTACTTAAAGTTCTAATACAATACAAAATTCGATTTGAAAAAAATTTGTTTTTTATTTGTTATCTCACAAAAGCTATTATATTTTGGTCATGAATCATGATTTTGAAACAAATTTGTATATTCGAAAATAAACTCATTGCCAGAAAATCCACTCAAATTTGATGTTGCAACATCGAACCGACAGTGGCGAGTTAATTCCAACAGACAATCCAACCGATTTAGCCCAATGAGGCAAACGAGCGCAAATCAGTCGCTCAACCTGTTTCACAGTCTTTCAGCTCAGCTGCACAGATATGTGAGGTGAGTAGCCTGTCTGGCGGTGGTGTAGCTGTGCTGACAATCCGGCTTGCTAACTAACTTGCTGGTGGCTGATTTTGTTTACGAAAATGTGTACGCGCTGGTGGTGTATGTGTTCTTGTTGGCATTTATTATTGTTTACCTCCCACCCTGATCACAAACGCACTAATGGCGACGACGACAGAAACACAGCAAACATGCAACACGCTCTGGCCGACAAATGGACGCAAAACAAAACAAAATCGCTTCAAGCAAAACCTACTTGTAAATGTGTGTGCGCACCTTGTACATGTGTTAGTGTGTATGCGGCACAGAGAGTTTGTTGGAAAGTGCAACAACGCGAATTATGCCAAAGTCAGCTGCTACTGCCGCCGCTGGCTGGCTGCTGCATGTGGTTATGTGGCTGACATGAAAAGCATAAATGAAATTGAAAAATTTCAGCAAAGAATCGAGGCGGAAATTCGCTAGCGCGCTCGTTGATTGCAGCGCCGTTACCCGCTGCCCAGCTGAGGCGACCGACGCCTGCCGAAACTGACGACTGCACTTATGACTTATTGTCAGTCAGTCAATTGACCGTAAAACGGCGACTAGCATCCATTAATACCGACTTACCGAAGCACCTCACAAAGCAGCCACACAGCGCGTTGCAAGTTGTTGCTGCACAAAGGATCTGGCTGTTGCTTCTTGTTGCGCCATTGTTTGCACTGTTGTGTGTGGAAGGATGAAAAAGTCGGCTCGTCGTCGGCTTATGGACTCTTGGGCGCGTTGTTGTTGCTGGTCATTGGTAAATGTTATTATGCTTGCTTGCTGCGTTGTCTGGCGGTCATTTGAGTGCATAAATCCTGACACGCACCATTAACAAGCCATTAAGTGATGGTCGGTGCACGTGCACACAGCGCAAATTGGTTGTGTGTGTGTATGTGTTTTCATGCATTTGTTATTGGAAGTGCCCTTACAGCCAAATTGAAAGCACTGAAATGAGAGACGTAACAATTTTCAAGGTCCAGATGCACTCTAAATTCTGGAGTATGTCATTAGAATAGTAAGAATGTTGGCTATAATTAAACACACACAATATATGTATGTACACACATTTGTTGTTACTCGAATACATATATGCATTACAAATCAATCAATATCAGAACCTTCAAGTAAAAAAAAAATAAATAAAGGTTACTTAATATGGAAAAATGTTTTATGTGAATGTATGAATTCTTAGGTAGAAAAGGACGTGTGCTCAGATCGATATCTCAAGAATTGAGGCCTTGTACGCGTATATACGGACGGACTGACAGACAGAAATGGCTAAATCGGCTCAGCTCGTTACACAAATTTGTGGCAAACTTATATTGAACAGAGTTTAGTTCAGGGTATGAAAGTATATCTTTGAAAACTCTACGAAATTTCATAAAAACGTAAGCAATTATTGCAGATTGTCATGTCAAGAATGGAATTCATAAAAAACATTTAAATTTATATAAAGCACACGCGTCTCTCAAATGTTCCCTCGCATAGAGAAAAATAGTTTTAAAAATTTATTATTAACATGCTAGCAAAACTAAAATATATGACAAAGCGAGCTTTTTATCTTTAGTCGAAAATAAATAAGAAGACAAAATGGATTATTGATTTAAACTTCGCGCACAAACCGAATTGATAAAAACAACTTTCCTAGATTAGTACAACCTTTTTATATGTTCGTGTGTGGTTTGATCTCTATACTCGTACGTCAATTAGTGTGTGTTTGGCAGCTGTACGCTTACGACGCGAGAGGTTTATCTGGCGATTTTACATGGAAAAATTTAACAACGAGTTTGCTTGAAGTTTTGTGACTCCATTGGTTGCGGCAACGGAACTGTTGAAAATGTTGCAGAAATCTTTTAGGATCGATCATTTGGTTAATGTTTTGCAATTGCCTTGACATGCTTATATTTGCTGCGGAGACGATAATAAAGACTTGTATTAATTAAATATGTTAAATTTTTTTTTTTTTTTTGTCAGTCTGGGTCAAGTTAGATCAGATAGTATTTTGTATAAATATTTGGAATGCTTCTTCCGACTTTCAATACTATATATAATTCGGAAAAGTATTGTTGACTGGTTGACTTTTAGAATTTTAAGGTGGATATCTCAGGTTAAGTGACTAAATCTGCGAAGGTTAAGAAAGGTTCCAGTAAAATATGAGAATTTGCGAAAATTTTTGAGAATACATCATCGAGTAACATTTCGGGAAATAAAGCCCTTCTTGCATAATAACATTACCTAAATTGACAAAAATTTCTAGTTTTTGCACTTTATAATTATTTGGTTCATCCAGTGATCAGACAAATTCAAGTAAAAACCCACGTTGTCCTTCAAAATACGAAGAAGACGGGTTGTTTCTATATATATACGAACTAGTCCCTCATTTTTTGTGATATCGATCTGAAGTATTGCACCTTATCTCACCAGGAAACTGCTCACGGAACACTTCATTTATCGGAGCACTATAGCATCTTGCTGCCAAATAAACTGAACGATCGAAACCAAGTGCTTGTATGGGAAACTCCTTCATTTGCCTAGATATATTCAAGAAATTCGGCATGGGTTATTGCCTAAAACAACAGTGCAATCTACAAAGAAATTGTTCAGATCGAGTTACTATAGCGCATAGCTGTCACACAAAATGACCGAACAAAGTTCTTGTGAGGAATCTCTTATGTTTGTGAAAGACATTATAGTTATATAGTATAACGTTTTTTCTTTTTTTTGTTATTGATATTTGTGAGGAATATGTAAAAAATGTTTCCATTTAAACTTTTTCAAAGTTGATATTTCCCTGAGATATATATTTTTCAACTATTTTCAACAGTTTAAAGTCTAATAAATATTAAAGTTAAT